AAAGGAAACAGGGCACTGAGAAGGGGGAAGAAGAGTACCTTATTTTGATGCAAATGTAAAGCACCGCAACACCAGCAACCACCTCAAGGAGATGCTCTCACTGAAATCTCCTCCTAAACTCCTCCCATAACCAAAATACCTACCCCTTTCTTTAGAAAACTTTTCAACAACACCCAAAATTCCAAAAGAAACTATGTTTATAGGCAGTGAACAGAAGAGAAAGAAGATCACCCCATCCACCCCGGTACTCGAATCGGGCCAAAAGAAGAAAAGGACACATTCTCTGCTCACAGAAGGCGAAGCAACCGAAGAGCCGGTGGCAGCGAGGGAAGCATCAGGAAGAAGAGATTTTGTTATTCAAGTGTACCAGGGAACAAGCTTCCCAGAGTTAAACTACCAAGAAAAGGAAAAACCCAACTCGGGGAGACTGACCCGTCGGGAAGACTGACACGACTTCGGGAAGGAGGGCCGCGGGCAGAAAATTGTCAGGAAAGGACGAACGAGGTCAACCCTCTCTCACGCGGAGGAAGAAGAGTTCGGTCGGCTCGAGAACGAGAAAGGGAAAGGGCCAGGCACGCGAACGGGAGAAGGGAGGCAAAGCTCGGACGCGGAGAATGGGGTTAGGGCTAAAGAGGAAAGGGGTAAAAATAGTTTTAATATAAATTAATATATATATATACATATATATAAATATATATATATATATACACATTAAATTATATCTGATTTATTCGCGCGCGGCGACGTAATAAAATGGGTGTCCTCCTTAGGCAAAATTGACGTTCTGGACGCGCCGGCGCAGTCCGTTTTGTCATATGGGGTCGCTCGGACGACGTCGTCGACAATCGGGCCATCGGAGACCGACTACATGAACAAGTATGGTGCGACGCAGTTCCAATGGACGCTTGCCACATTCTCTTAGGTAGGCCTTGTCAGCTCGACCACAAGACTCGACACGACGGCTTGAAGAATACTTATTATTTTAGGAAGGATGGGAAACATATCATTTTGCTACCATGTAAGGATGCGAAAGATGGAACGATGCATAAGTAGCATTAGTTTCTTGGACCACTTTCCTGTAGTCAGTTAGAGATGCTCCCATAACACTAGCATTAATCCTCCTGGAAGGAAGCAGGAAAGGGAGGTATCAGCACTACTGCAACCACTACTACAAGATTTTAGTGATGTTATGGCCGATAGTCTGCCAGAGGGGTTACCACTCTTAAGGGACATCCAACACGCCATAAACCTTATATTAGGGTCAGTATTACCAAAACGACCAACCCACAAATTGAAACCCGCGGAGTACGACGAGCTACAACGTCAAGTGTAAGATCTCATCGCAAGGGCGTTAGTTAGAGAAAACACCAACCCATGTGTGGTTCCTTCCCTGATGGTGCCAAAAAAAGGACAGATTGTGGCGGATGTGCATCGACAGTTGAGTCATTAACAAGATTACCATAAAGTATCGATTTTCTATACCCTGCTTGGATGATCTCTTAGATCAGTTACACAGAGCCACTTTCTTCTCTAACATACGGATGAGGTCAGGAGACAAATGGAAGACCGCCTTCAAGATCTGGGAGGGAATTTTTGAGTGGACCGTTATGCCTTTCAGCTTGTCAAATGCACCCATCACATTCATGAGGTTGTGAACCAGGTCTTTCGACCTCACATTAGAAAGTTTGTCTTGGTCTACTTTGATGACATTCTAATATACAACCATTCTGAGGAGGATCACATGCATCACATGAGGGCAGTATTTGAGGTACTGAGAGCCGAACAACTATACGCCCTTCCAAAAGAAATGTCACTTCATGACAAGCCATGTATGTTTTTTCGGTTAAATCGTACCTAATGCAGTCATTCAGATGGATTTCACAAAGATAGAGGTCATTATCAGCTGGATCACACCACAATCGTTCACCGAACTGAACCAAATTTTGGTGCTAGCATCATTCTATCGGAGTTTCATCAGAAACTTCAGCACTATCACCTTCCATTTGACCAAACCTTTGAAAACGAAGTTTGCTTGGACAGTAGCTGCCCAAAACAGTTTAACAAACTGAGGGAAAAGGTGACTCAGGCGTCCGTGCTAGCACTACCAGACTTCAACCAACTTTTCGAGGTAGAGTGTGATGCCTCCGACGTAGGGATCAGAGCAGTATTGAGTCAGGGAGGACACCCCATCATTTTCTTTAGTGAGGAGCTGAATGAGGTCAGGAGGAAATACTTGACATACAGTAAGGAATTCTATCTATTGTTAGTGCCTTGCAGCACTGAAGTCATTACCTACTGACGAACGAGTTCACATTATTTGCAGATCACAAGGCCTTAAAATTCCTCAATAGCTAGAGCAAACTGAAGGTCTGACATGCCATCTGGGTGGAGTTTCTAGCCTCATTCTAGTTTGTTCTTAAGCGCAAGACGGGAAGCCAGAACTGTGTAGCAGATGTACTAAGTCGTCGACATATATTGATCGTATCCATACAGGCCCAAGTTGTGGGCTTCGAAGTCATAAGGGATCTATATGAAGTAAATGAGGATTTCAAAGACATATGGGCGCAATGTCAGGAGAAGCCAACAATGTAAGGAGAAGCCAGCATGACACTATTACAGAATAGATGGATAGTTGTTCCGTTAGAGTCAGTTATGCATTCCCTGGTGTTCACTAAGAGAGACCATTATCCAAGAGGGCCACAACGTAGGATTGACAGGTCACTTCGGCAAGGACAAGATCCTTGCCCTTGTGAGGGAGCATTTATTTTTGCCCCAAACTAATGAGAGATGTGGAGCGACATGTCAGGCAGTGCAGGATTTGCCACCTGACATAGATAAGGGCTCAAAACGGAGGATTGTACACACCACTTCCAATATCAGAGGCACCATGGGTTGATGTCAACTTAGATTTCGTGGTGGTACTCCCAGGACCCAAGGGAACAATGACTCCGTAATGGTTGTGGTAGACAAATTTCCAAGATGGCCCAATTCGTACCCTATCACCGGACACTAGCCACCTCTCACATCGCCGATCTCTATTTCAGGGAGATTGTAAGGTTGCACATAATTCCCGGGATCGTCACCTCTGATCGAGATGTTAAATTTTTTAGCTACTTCTTAAGGAAACTATGGGGAAAGCTTGACACCAAGCTTCAATTCAGCTCGGTAGCTCATTCGCAGACAAACGGGCAGACATATGTGGTAAACCAGAGCCTTGGTAATCTCTTGAGGTGCTACGTAGGGAAAAATATAAAGTAATGGAATCTTATTCTAGTTCAAGTTAAGTTCTCCTATAACCGATCCATTAGCCAAACTACTGGACGCACTCCTTTCGAGATTGTGTACGGACACAATCCACTCACACCACCTGAATTGGTGCCTTCTACCATCTTTGAAAATCAGTGAGGATGCTACAGAACGAGTTCACGAGATTCAAAAGCTCCATGAAAAAGTTGGCAATGAGATTGCTAAACTGAACTACAAATATCAGCCGCAGACCAATAAATCTAGGAGGAAAGTAACATTTCTTGAAGGCGACATCATGTGGATTAGGTTGAAAAAGAAAAGATTTTCCTTATGATCATTCCGAAAGCTTAAGACGGGAGCAGATGGATCTTTCAGAGTACTTCAAAAGTTGAATGACAACACTTACAAGATCGACCTACCCGAAGATTACAATGTTTTAACCATATTCAACTTCGCCGACCTGACACCTTACTTTGAAGAATCGGGAGTTTCGACAAATATGGTCGAAGCTTCTTCAACTCTGGGAGACTGACGCAGGGCGCTAACAACACTACTAATGTGGGGCGCCAAAATGCCAATCGGTTGAACCGGTTGAGCAGACTGAACCGGTTAAACCAGCCAATTTCCATATCGGTCTAGGGACTGATATAGAGCACAGGTTGTGAGACCTGTAGAAGGGGCGATGCAAAAGGATCAGAAGACAGGTAGAAGGGGCAATACTATCACCTCTCCTATGTGTTTCTCTCCGTATGGAAAGCTAATGATTATTTTCTAGTGTATTCACACCCCTTCCTCTTGTGTCAGAGTCCTTTCCTACTTTTTTCTTTTTTTTTCCTTCAATTAGAGTATATATATTGTTGTTGTTTTGAAGCGTTAGGGCAGTCTTGGTTTTGTAGATTTTAGATTCTTGTGTGGAGTGTTCTCTCTATTTTAGGGTTGTATCTGAGGAGGTGGCGGTGCTCCAGTTGTATTTTACTCCAAGGTGGCATAGTATCTTTTCTTTTACCTTTATCCAACCCTTCTTATCCCCTCTTCTCCACCTCCAGCCTCCCTGTACTTCAACCTAACACCTGACCGCCTCTCTCTACCACTTACTTACTTCCATGCCTTCCTCATTCTCTCTCTATCTTCTCACTCACTCCCACTCCCCACCTCCCTCTCTCCCTATGTCCCTCTCATAACCCCCTGCCGCCCTTCTCTGCAGCTTCTCCTTGCTGTCTAGCTCTCCAATCCGCACTCCAACCAATCTACCAGACCTCCAAAACCCCTTCCGTCCCATCTGACAATCCCCCTCTCTCTCTTGAATCTCTTCTTTCTGGCCCTAGCAGGAGATTGGTCTGTTGTTGTTTTCCCCTTTTCATTGCGTCGTGTTGTAAACCTATTTCTATGTTAATAAAATTTTTGTATTCTGCTAAATACCGATTAGTTCTGGCATCACCCATCTTGTGACTTTAAAAATTGCAAGTCATCTTGATCTTTTCTTGTTAACTAATCATAGTATCTTGATTTAGCAGCACCTCTTCTGGAACACGGTCCTTTAAATGCACTGGAGGGATTCTTTCAGCAGAAGCTGTAGCTCTTCTACGTAGTTTTTATGAACAAGGGAACCCTAATGGTACGCTATTCATTAAACTAAGTTTACTCGTTACTTTGAAAAATTAATTCTGTGCAAGGAGAAAATTATAAACTTGACTTTAAAACATATCGGTTTATAACTACCAATGAATTACTTTTTTCATTTAATCCAATTAATTGGGCAGCATTGTCCCTGCTGATCTTTGTTTTCATCTATCTTTAATAGCTATTCTTTTGAACCATTGAATAGATTAAAGAGCAGCTTGTTAATGCATTAGGGATTTTATCATATAATCTTTGTTTTCATCTATCTTTAATAGCTATTCTTTTGAACCATTGAATAGATTAAAGAGCAGCTTGTTAATGCATTAGGGATTTTATCATATAATCTTTGTTTTCATCTATCTTTAATAGCTATTCTTTTGAACCATTGAATAGATTAAAGAGCAGCTTGTTAATGCATTAGGGATTTTATCATATAATCTTTGTTTTCATCTATCTTTAATAGCTATTCTTTTGAACCATTGAATAGATTAAAGAGCAGCTTGTTAATGCATTAGGGATTTTATCATATAATCTTTGTTTTCATCTATCTTTAATAGCTATTCTTTTGAACCATTGAATAGATTAAAGAGCAGCTTGTTAATGCATTAGGGATTTTATCATATAATCTTTGTTTTCATCTATCTTTAATAGCTATTCTTTTGAACCATTGAATAGATTAAAGAGCAGCTTGTTAATGCATTAGGGATTTTATCATATAATCTTTGTTTTCATCTATCTTTAATAGCTATTCTTTTGAACCATTGAATAGATTAAAGAGCAGCTTGTTAATGCATTAGGGATTTTATCATATAATCTTTGTTTTCATCTATCTTTAATAGCTATTCTTTTGAACCATTGAATAGATTAAAGAGCAGCTTGTTAATGCATTAGGGATTTTATCATATAATCTTTGTTTTCATCTATCTTTAATAGCTATTCTTTTGAACCATTGAATAGATTAAAGAGCAGCTTGTTAATGCATTAGGGATTTTATCATATAATCTTTGTTTTCATCTATCTTTAATAGCTATTCTTTTGAACCATTGAATAGATTAAAGAGCAGCTTGTTAATGCATTAGGGATTTTATCATATAATCTTTGTTTTCATCTATCTTTAATAGCTATTCTTTTGAACCATTGAATAGATTAAAGAGCAGCTTGTTAATGCATTAGGGATTTTATCATATAATCTTTGTTTTCATCTATCTTTAATAGCTATTCTTTTGAACCATTGAATAGATTAAAGAGCAGCTTGTTAATGCATTAGGGATTTTATCATATAATCTTTGTTTTCATCTATCTTTAATAGCTATTCTTTTGAACCATTGAATAGATTAAAGAGCAGCTTGTTAATGCATTAGGGATTTTATCATATAATCTTTGTTTTCATCTATCTTTAATAGCTATTCTTTTGAACCATTGAATAGATTAAAGAGCAGCTTGTTAATGCATTAGGGATTTTATCATATAATCTTTGTTTTCATCTATCTTTAATAGCTATTCTTTTGAACCATTGAATAGATTAAAGAGCAGCTTGTTAATGCATTAGGGATTTTATCATATAATCTTTGTTTTCATCTATCTTTAATAGCTATTCTTTTGGGAGCTTGAAGTATGTGCTCATAATCTTTTATTTCATCATATTGAAAAATGTATTGAGATTTTGATAAGCTCAAAATATTTATAGCTTTATCTCAATCTATTCTCATCTGAAAAGTATTCTTGACTTCTTTTAGGTCCTTCATGTTGCACAAACACAAACCCACAAACACATTCTTTCGGTAACTTGATCAATATCGAAGTATTCATTTTGAAGAGAAAATCCATCTCTTTTTAATTGCATAACTTTGTCATATCATTTAGATTCACTTGCATCAATTAGTAGCACGTAATACAGAGAAGGAGACTATTGATTAATAGATATTGAAATTTTTTTGTGATCTCCTGCCTTCTATCACAAGAATTTTCTCCTTTCTTTTATCAAAATTAAGTAGCTCTTTTAATTCAACCTACTTTTGGTGAAGATTTCTTTTTCAAACTTGTTGGGCCTGTCTTTATCATATTAGTTGAAAATAAGATTCCCATTTTTTGTTATTTTCTCATCACATAATTTATAGCCAAAGTCATTAGTACTATAACCAATAAAATTGTATTTAGATTTAGGGTCAACTTTGTCTCTTTCATTATTTGTACATAAAAATGCATTTAAAAATTTTCAAATGAGAAAAGCATCTTCTTTCCATTCGAAGCTTCTTTAGGAAACCCAAAATCACACGCTATGGTTGAGCCTATATTTATTGCATCTGTCCAAAATATTTTTATTAGTTCTACAAGAAGTCGCATGCTCTTAAACCTTTCATCCAAAGAAGTGTTCTTTTTTTACCATTCTCTTTCAGAGTTTCTAAGACCATTCTCTTCATATGAATCCATTAGCAATACAGTAATTTTTGAATTCTATGTAATCATACTTTCCTTGATTATCGGATTGCAGGTATTGAATTTTGCTCCAGTCTCACTTTTAACTAAAATTTTCCATCTTACAAAGTTACCAAACGCCTTAGATTTTGTTTGATAAAATAAACTCATATCTTTCTTGCATAGCCCAACAGTCATTGCCTAATTTTCATCATTTGTTGATGTAATATGTATTTATAGTTATTGGCCATAACTACTTCACCACCAAAATGTTGCAATACTACAAAAAACTTTCTTTGTTTACAAACATTTGGTTTAAAGAGGCGCACTTACCTATAAAGATGACAGTATTTCTCCTTTAATGAAAGAATATGTAGTAATTTCTCTACTTGCTTTGGGGAAATGATTTCATCTATGAATGTGACATAATTTATTAAGCTGTCCAGAGATGGTCTTGGGATTTCTTCCGTAAATCTTTGTGAACTGATCCTAGCATTCTAGTTTTAAGTTCTCTTTCAGTCTTTGAGAAACTAATCTTTTTTATGCAATCTTCACAAAAGCTAGGTTCAACAGATTTAAATTTGAAAATTCACAAAAGCTAAATAATGCCAAATATTATTCTTCATAGACATATTGTAGCTCCATATTATGTTGATCTTTGTGGTAATGTAGAATGCACTAGTGTTTTTTCTTTGGGCAATCACTATGGCTTCTTTGGTCACTTATGTGCCAGCATTGAATACGACATTATATTTTGCTGCTATAAGTTGCATAAAAATCAAAATTCTTTTCAGGCTGGCTATGTTTTCGACCTTACTCATTTTTTATGGATTCCACTTATGATTTGAAGCATCTCATTCCATAATATTATAAACGCTCATTGTGAGCAATAAATACTTTATTATACTTAACTGTGATAATTTATCATTAATTTTGTATGAGAAGAAGAATGAAATGATGCATCTGATTCTAACATTCATAAATTTGTTGGGCATTCAACAGTGATGACCATGCATTTTGATTTTTCTTCTTTTTTGTTTGTTTGTGTCTTTTTTTTTTTTTTTTGAAGTTGCATTCACCGTTTCTTCTTTCTGCCTTTTTCCCTTGTTTCTATTTTCTTTTGTGGTAGTCTTTCATCATATGTCCTAGCTTTTCATAGTACCAACATCCAACAACCATTGACCTAAAGATTTACTTTTATTATGATATATGATGGCTCCTTTTTTGTAATTTGAATTTTGATCGCTTTGATACTTGCTTTGTTTCTACACTTTATTGTGTTATTAATATTCAAATTAGGAAAATGAATTTTTCCTGTCTCACGTTGTCAAATTTCCTTACTATGAGGTCTCTAGCATTATTGAACTTCAATTTTCTTGAGCATAGGAGCTGTTGATGCATTATCGAACTTCAAATGTTTTAAGCCATAAGAACTGCTGATGGCTATTGCTATACCATATAATTTTTAGGTAGCAACAAAAATAAAACCGATGCATGAATTTTGTCTCTCATTGATGTCCATAGAACTCAACTAACTTGAGATCATGAACTCATTGATATACTTAGGACAGAGGTTTATTAACACTCTTGAGATTTAAAAAAGTTACGCATAAAACATGCTTTATTAACAACAGAGGGCTTCTTATACATATATGATAATGCTTTTATCATGCTTGTTGTTGCCTTTCATTGAGAATGTTAAAGGCAACATCATTTGTTAGGGATTGGCGTCTATCCACCAGCTCCACTAATTTTGATCAATAGTAGAAGGTTTTGATCTATTCAAAGGTTGATGATTTTTGTTTTTTGATAAAAGTAATTTTCTATATGCATCATCCAGTAGCCTAAATCTAAAATCTTGGCAATTAGATTTTTAGGACTTCTAGAGCTTGAAAATATTTTAGACCAAAGCTTTAGTACCAGTTGTTAGAATGGTGATAGAATATTAAGCGAAACAAAATGAAGACAAAATTAAATAAACCAAAATTACAATCATAAGATGGACGAGTTTATGTGATAATGATATTCATCTACGTCTAGTGTCATACACAAAGATCAAATATTCAACTATGTTTTAAAAATGAGTATATTAAAGATTTTTTTTTCTATACATACAAGTATAAGGATAGAAATTTCACTCTTGGTTAAAGACAGACGGAATATAGCCACCTACTATGGAAACAATGGCTAAATCTAACAAGAAAAAACCTGCTGCTCTTACTATTTTTTCTTGTCTCTTACATGAGCTTCATCCTTTCTTCTTTCCTCTACTGCAAGGCTTTCTTTTTTCTATAGTTGAAAGCTTAAGCCTATTTTTCCTTCTCTCCTTATTTTTTTTTATTTTTATTTGTGTAATGCTATATCTCATTGGGGCCATCTCTTAATATATTACTCGAAAGTGTTATGTAGTAAGATGACATTTATTTGGTAGTTGGCAGTTGATATCATGATATATATGTTCTGTAAGTGATGATATGTAATGAATTTATAGGAGTTCTTTTGAAAGTGGTTGGAAAGGCAATTTCATTCATATTTTTTACTTGAAGTTCATTGGTTTTTTTAGCCAATATATGTAGGAAA